ACATCAATATTATCAAGTTTTTTCATAGATATTTGATTTCTCAATTTCAGCATGATGCAAATTCTACCTCTCTAGATTTATCTTTTTTATACTACTTTAAGCGTATCATTTTTCATTGTATTTCTAAAGAGAAAAATAAGGTTGCGGACTTTGTACAACCTATGTTTTAAGTGGTAGTTTCTTTTGGGACTATTTTGATAATGATCTTCCTTCTTTTTTTTTTTCTTTGTTGAAGGAAGAATATGATAGATTAGCTATCATTTAGTTTGTAATTTTCTCCTTTATTAATAATAAGTTATTTGCAATGTTTCAAAAAAAAAAAAATCCTTATGACACCATTCAGATTATTCTAATGATAGTAAAAGGGCTAGTCCATCCATATTTAAGTTTTTCATTATAATATTATTCCTATAATCAAAAAGAAAAACAACTTGACCAGGAGAAAATTTGTGATCTATGACTCCACATGCATAGATCTTCTTCATTTATGTATTGTAAATTTTTATATCTTCATACACTTCATTTCTAAATTCATAAAATTTATCAATTATTGTAGAACTCTGGATGTTTATAATAGAGAAGGAATCTTTATTCTTTAAGCATACTTCACTTCTTTTTGAGGATGAATGCTTTCATTTCTTTCCACCAATTGCTTTTAGCTAGATTGAAAGCAAGGAAAAGAAGACGCTTTCAAATTCTACACTCAAGAAGGATTACTATGGATACAAAATCAAATGTTCCACTTATCCTTTTTATAATTTTCACATGCGCAGAAGTGCCAAAATTTGAATTTTAAACCGCTGCAGTATGTACGACCAAGCGCAATGGTGCTACAAGCCGCGCTATGACGCTCCTTTCTCACTTGTAGTTTTTTTTTTTTAAATAAAAACTACCACTACTAAATATAATCTATCAAGCACATAAAAAGCTAGGTTATATCCCATACAATGCTAAATTTATAGTCTTCAGCCATACTTGCCTTAAATTATGATCAATTTAGCTGGGGATAATCCTCAAATGATTATTACTTGGATATTTTTCTTTTTTCTTTGGATTAGCTTCAAAATTTATAAGCAATTATCTAAGAGGTCTACTATTGATTAAATTACAAGCAGACTTAATTGGGTTTTTAAAATTTTAATAGAAGCAACTTAGCTTTGTAAATGAGTTCCTAACCACATCACTACATCTTCCAATAATGCTTTTCTACTTCCAAACTGTTTGCTTTGATTAATCTTAGATTATATGCTGGTCTAGAATTAATAGCAAGTTGTTGAGGATTATTCCAATTTATTCCTTGATTATTTTAACTAAAATTTCATTGACTGTTTCAATCATCATTATTTGATCAATTACAATTTGGATGATTCCTCCAACTTGGATTATATGTATTGGAATATACATTATTTTATCTTTCAATCAAATTAATATTTTCAAAACCTTACGCATTATTATTTTCAATTAACTTTTGATCCTCCAATTGCATAGATAATTCAATTTCAAATTATGCATTTTCTCTGATTGTGCTCAACTTTTTAGAAATTATTACAACTTTTGTAGCCAAATGTGATAAAGTATCATATTCATATACTCTTGTTACTTTCTAATAATTTACCCCATTAGTAGGCAATTAAAAATTATTAGTAGCAAATTTCTCTATTAATTTATATGTTTCCTCAGATGGCTTAGATATTGATGATCCTCCAACTACAACATCTTAGATATTGATGATATTAAATATTGTGCACAACATTATACACTGTATACAATCTCGTATAAACTTGTACACATTGTATACAACTATTCTAAATTTCTATTATACAAATTGTATAAGCATGTAAAGTATTTTTTATTACTCGCCGTATTTATTACTATTAGATTCAATATAATATAAATTAAAACAACATAGGAATAATTCAACAAAGTAAAGCTTTATATTCACAAACTCTTATACACACTATGTACAAGGGCATATACACATAGTGTACCAAGGTTTGTATACAATGTGTACAACTATTCTAGATTTCCATCATAAATTAAAATAACATATGTATAACTAAACAAAGTAAAGCTTTATATTCATAGGCCCTTGTAGACACTATGTATAAGGGCATGCATACATTATGTACAAGGGCTTGTATATAAAATCACTGCTCTATAAGAAAAAGGATAAAGATTACCAAAAATACATTAAACATGATCATCACTAAGATCCATAAACATGTCGAAGACCTGGATGAGAGACAAAAAAATGTGGCTTCCCAACGAAAGAAATAGGGTCTTGCATCAAACACTATAGGGTCAACAATGGATGTGTGTTCCAGAAACTAAATATGTATAAGATCCATAAGTAATATTAGAAAAATGAACAAATCCACCATTAAAAAATCTAGTATTAGTAATATAATCATAGAGAGTACTCACCATTAACAAAGGAACAAATTTACTCAAATATCCTAAGGCGACATCATCAGCATACTTTATCATCATACGATTAAATTGAATAACTAAAAAATCCCTAATTGACATAGCAGAATTATACCCTGTGAACTCATCCACATTCTAGGTAATAGTAATGAGCCTTATTGGGATTCTATAGTTATTGTTGTGAAAAGATAAATTGGACAACAAAAACTTGAATATATTTATAATAACGACAGGGGAGCATGACATGTCATTATTCTTCATTTCATTTTTAATTTCAATTCAAATATATTTAGTTAATGTCTCATATTCCTAGTATATCAAATCATCGCTGTTCGGCAAACCTATCATTAGAGCCATTTCATCTGATGTAAATCATATATCATGCCCTTTGATTGTGAATGTTTCCTGAGCACATCCAAACATGACAACAACATGTAAATTTGGGATGTATTTTATTGAAATGGAGGGAACTTCATAAATTGAAATATGTTTAACCTCTTCAAAGCGTCATGCACTTCATCGTGAAATATCTCTTTTAAAGAGTCACAAATATATCTAAAGGTTGAGGGTCTGCAACAAAATTAACATTTGGGATGTACATCTACAACAAAAAAAAAATAAAAAATATTGATTAATTTATCTTATACAAAAACTTTAGATGATTAACTAATATTTTTTAATAATATCTGTGTATATGGTAGTACATAGTATTTATATTGCTAATAGAAGCTTGTACACAATATATAAAAAAGCAGTAAACACTATGTGACAAGTTATTGTACACACTGTGTACAAGACCTTATACATAGTAGAGCTTGTATATTGTTTGTGCACAATGTGTATAAGTGTTTGTACACAGCGTGTAAAGCCCTTACACATCGTGTACAATTGTTCTAAATTTTCATTATACATAAACTATACAATATTGCAAAATATTTTTTGTCCACACCATATTTATTACTATTAGATTCAATATGATATAATATAAAATAAAAGAACATATTAATAACTCAACAAAATAAAGCTTTATATTTATAAGCACTTGTATATACTGTGCACATGGGCTTGTACCCATTATTTACAAGTGGTCTAAATTTTCCTTTAAAATGCATTATTTTTTTGGTAAACAAAAATGAAATAACGCGGTGTGCCATCAAAATAGTTATAGGGTCAATTGTAACAAAGGAGATCCTAAAACCGGGTGTATGAAAACTCTGTATCCGGACTCCGCACAAAATAATTTCTCCACTTAAAAAGAAATCCAAAACAATACATCATAAAACTGGGTGCATGAAAACTCTGTGACTGGACTCATTGCACAGTGATTTCTCCACCTACAAAGAAACCCAAAACATTAAATGGAGGTTCGCCTTTCATGCCTTCAAAGTGTTGATATTAAAATAATTGAGAAATAAAAACAGTACATAAATTTAAATTTATAAGGAAAAAAATTATAAATTTAATTTGACGCTTATAGTAAATCCTAAACAAAAAAACAGAAATGATAGAACTTGCCTTCTTAAAGAAAGATAGCGGTTTGCGAAGAGAAAAATCTTGGTTCTATGATGAAATACGACATTCTTATTGCAAAACAAAAAAATTTTATCAGCACGATTTCAAAATTGACCGAGACTCATTGGCTTTCTTTTAAAAAATATTACCTCAGAACTGGGTCAGATCGTCGGGTCTCGAGTGAGTAAAAAAATCTACAACAATAACATCAAGCCTTTATCCCACTACGTGGGGTCGGCTACATGAATCATTTTTCTCCATTGTGTCTTATTAAAGGTCAAATTCTTGTTTAAATCTAATAAAGAAAGGCCATTCCTAATATTTTCTAACCAAGTCTTTTTAGGTCTGTCTTTACCTTTCTTAACATAAGTCAAATCTAATACCTCTACTCTCTTAACCGGGTCATTGGAAGGCCGCCATTTTATGTGCCCAAACCATCTAAGGCGACTCTCTCTAATCTTATCTTCTACTAGAGCTACTACAACCTTTTCACATATATGCTCATTTCGTATCCTATCTCTAAGGGTAAAGCCACTCATCCACCTGAGCATCCTCATCTCTGCCCCTTCTCTAGTCTTATCAACAAGAAGAATATTATCAGCAAAAATCAAACACCAAGGTACATCCTCTTGCAAATGTCTAGTGAGAACATCCATGACTAAAGCAAAAAGATATGGGCTTAAGGCTGATCCTTGATGCCCAACCGAAATAGGGAAATACTTGGTCAAACCACCTTGTGTTTGAACACAAGTAATAGCTCATGCATACATATCTTTAATGATTTGAATATAAGCATTATTAACTCCTTTCTTTTCAAGAACTCTCCATAGCATTTCTCTTGGAACTTTATCAGGAGTAAAAAAATCTACGTGGCTGCAAAAAAATGACCCAAAAAATATGTGTCGACCACGAATTAGAGTCCAAATAGAAAGCTATGTTTGCGCACCGCACATAAATGCGATTATTATTATTTTTATTTTTTTTAAAAGTTTTTATAAAAAATATATTTATAAAATAGTAATAAAGTTAAATTAGCTTAAATTAAGCTTTCATACGCCTTATTTTCCACTCGTCCATTTGTTTTCCTCAATCTCCCAAAATTAGGGTTTCCTCTCCCCTCATCAGTTTTCTTCCTCTCTCGTCTTCATTTCTTGCTCCCTCTCCTCAGCTTCATATCTGCTGCCTCTTGCTCTCCCTCCTTTCTTTAGCTTGACACGATGCCCAAGGACAGACGAAGCCGCTCCGTCTCCTTCGATCGCGCCTCTCCTTTCCCATCCCGTTCCTCTAATTGCAGGCGTCACTCTCCTCTTCCATCCTCCTCAAGAAATCCACCCAGATCTCCTCTTCCTGTAGCATCCGACTTTCAGAAATGGGACGAGATCCGTTGTCCCGTGTGCATGGAACACCCCCACAACGCCGTCCTCCTCCTTTGCGCCTCACATGACAAAGGTTGCCGTCCTTTCATGTGCGACACAAGCTACCGCCACTCCAACTGCCTCGATCAGTACCGGAAAGCCATCCAAGTTTCCATGCCTGGGGACAGCAAGCCGAAGCTCTCCTGCCCTCTCTGCCGCGGCGTCGTCTCCGGATCAAAAGTCGTCGAGGCGGCGCGGAAGCATATGAACACCAAGGCACGGAGTTGCTCATCTGAGTCATGCGGGTTCGCCGGGGCTTATAGTGAGCTGAGGAAGCACGCGAGGACGGAGCATCCGCTTGTTCGGCCGTCGGAGGCGGATCCGGAGCGGGAGAGGGACTGGAGGAGGCTGGAGCAGCAGCGTGATCTGGGTGATTTGTTCAGCACGATGCAGTCGGCTTTTGGAGGAGAGGAGGATGATTACGCCTTTCTTGCGGATGGGGGTGAGTTTGGAGGTTTGCTTCCCTTTCCTACTATCACGTTCTTCTTAGTTCTGCGTTTTAGAGGAACTGGAGGGCTTAGTAGCAGCACCGGATGGTCTAATGGGAGGAGGGGGTCATCTAGATCGTCGAGGTCTCGGAGAGGAATGGGGAGAGTTCTTTGGGGCGAGTCTATTGTTGAATCTGAGGCTGGTGGAAGAGATCGAAGTGATGCTGATGATGGTGATGATGCTAATTATGATTATGATCATGATAATGATGATGAGAATGACGAGAATGATGGTGATGATGATGATGGCGGAGGTGAAGACGTTCCTAGTCCATCTAGACGGCGTCAGAGGCGAACACGTCGACAGCTGACAATGGTGGATGATGATGATGAAAACATTATAATGTGACGCACAAGCCATTCATTTGATTTATGCTACTGGGTTATTTGCAGATGGAGAGCTGCTTGGTGCTCCTAGGTCTGTAAATTGCCTGATTGCTGGTTGCATGAGCTGTTCTTCATGCTTTGGGTCTAGGTTGTTCATTGGAAGGCAGAGATGGTTCTGCATCTTCTCTTGAATCTGGTGGAAGTAGGGAAATGAGATAATGGGAAAGTAGGAGGGAAATAATGTTTGGCTTCAGAGAAACAATATGGAGTGGATGTGGATAGTTATCTTTCTGATAGGTCGATTTGATTCTTCTTTGTCTTTAAAAGAAGGTCGCGGGTTCTTTTGGTGTTATAAATGGCCACATCACTATATATTTTGTTCAGCTGACTTGCAATATTATTTCAATTTCTTCTTACAAGTTGTGTTTCTTCCCTTTTTAATTTGTGCAATCTTCTTGGCTAGAAATTCGGGAAATATTTTTTTGACAGAGGAATCAATGCTCCTTTTAGTTAAATTTTTTAATGTTTGAGTTAATCCTTCATGGTTTTTTATAATTGTTAGGTATCGTTATGAAATTACACTTTATACAAGTTTGCTATGTTGCACCGATACATCTATTTATGAAGGCGTGCTGTATCTGATACATGTCGAACACATATACACGTCCGATGTTGCACCGATACGTGTCAAATACGGCTTTGCCGTATCCAATTAAAATAATATTTAATTTCAAAAGGACACGCGTATCCAATACGCATGTCCCGTTGAAAAACTAAAAAAAAAAATCCGAAAAAATGAGGCAAAGAGAGAGGGCTATCATTGAGAAGTTGCTCGAGCCAATCAAAGGAGTATGGAAGGAAAAAAGGAGTTACTAGACATTTAATGCTTACTTTTATTTTGATATTATAAGCTACAAGGTTACAAATGATGCTGCTTTCATTTTTTTTTTTTTTTTCATTTCAAATATTATGCTTTGATTGCTTTCTTAATTTTATGTATGATTTATAAATTTTAATGTCGTGTCCGTGTCATACCCGTATCCTGTATTTTTAAGATTTGACGTGTCCCGTATCGTTTCACCGTATCCGTATCGATGCAACATTGCAAGTTTAAGTTTTTTAATAGGCGAATTTTCTATATATACTTTTTTATTACTTGTTTTCTTTATTTTTTTTTCTTGGAGGATTTGTGAGTTTGCTACTATAGAATGATAGGCATTCTTTATTCTTTTACTTTTGCTTTAGCACTTAAATATATTTGATTCTCCTTGTATTGTTATTATTATTATTTGCATTTTCAGCTCTATATTACCTTTGTTGCATATAAAATTGGCTAGAAAACCATGTCTTCTTTATTGAAAATTAAGTTATTTGCCTTGGTGGGGCATATTAAAACCTTCTAGCTAGACTAGACTGTCAAATTTAAGTTTGCATGACATAACATGATTTGGTCTTCAACCTATTTGCATATGCTCTATATATGTTCACAAAATAATCCCCCACTAGGGGTGTCAACGCGTCGAGCCGAGCTCAAATCACCTTTGGCTTAAGCTTGAGCTTGATTAATTAATCGAGTTCAAGCTCGAGCTGGCTTAGGAGCCGACTCGTTTAGCATGAAAGAGAGAAAATGATAATGATTCAAACAATTATTATAATAGAATGGTTAAAAGAATGAGAAAGTAGAAGAAAAATAATAAAAATAACTTAATATAATAAAATGACCTATATTTTTTAAACATTTTTAACAATTCTACACTTAAAGTTATAAATGTTAATTTTTAGTGCATTTTTTATTAATATTTTTTTTAATGAGCCGGTTTGTGAGTTAACGAGTCAAGTCAGGGTTGGCTCAAGCTTGGCTCGTTAGCTCATCGAGCTTGGCTCATGAGCCATTTATCGTCTCACGATCAACTTGACTCACTTATACCCCTATCTCCCACCCTCTTTTCACATACACAGAGCACATACGCATGTACACCTACCTCAATCGCCAAACCTTACCTCGCCTTCCCATTCTTCTTCCAAAGGGTTGTAAGTTACTCTTATTATTTTTCATTGTCTATTAGAATGGTTATACAACAACAAGATTTAAAATGAAGAAATGAAAAACTTAGGGATTTTGTCGTATCTAGGCGAGTCGAAAAAAAAAAAATCTAAAGTGAAAGTTTATCATCATAAATCATTGGCGTATTTACTTAATTCATCACTATAAATCATAAAATCACTTAATAAGAGAAAGAAAGTAAATCTCAATATAAAGTGAAAGTTTGAATCACGTGCTGCAATATTAAACTATGTGATTTTTTAGTTTCTTAAAAGCCCCAATAACCCTTCCAAACTCTTCGCCTGACAGTTCAACTTGATTGCTATATTTTTATGGTTGCTATTTTTTTCCCCCTAGTACCGCTACTTATTCTAATAAACAAAATTAAGAAAAAATGTAATATAACTAAAAATAATAATAATAACTTAAAATTTAATGAAAAAGCAATATTATAAAAATAAAAGCAAAACATCTTGCAATAATTAAACCTTCATCATTTTAATTGGTCATTTATTTCATATAACCTTGCTCTTTATTCATTTTTCCTCTAATGACAATTGCTTGTTATTGATAGTGTCTTCATGACATAATCATCATTGATGACAATTATAGCAAATTTGAATGATTAACTTATAAAAAGTTTTGATACCAGAAAAAAACATTAGCTATTTTAAGTAATGCATTGTGACTAATTATTAATTTTCTTGTGATCAAACGATTCATTATACTATTCTCCAAGTTATAGAAATTGCAATCAAATGAAATTTAATTATGAATAAGTAGGCGTTGAGATTTTTGCTCAAACAAAATAATAGTTTCAAGCATGTGCCCTTATTGTTTAATGGCTTGAGAGCATCACATTTTTCTTGCCATTCTTGGTCAAACTAAAAACTCATATGCATTAGCTTGAATTTTGATATGTGGATGAGTTGTAGGGTTTTTTATTTTTCAATAATTTGTTATTATTGGAGCTTGTTTTACTCAATTTTGACTTAGAGCCTAGTGAACCTTTGGTTGATGTAGCCTATAATCTTTTGAAACTCGGTTTATCTGTGTTTAATTTTGTTAAGGCGTTTAGGTAGCTCGATTGCTCCACCAAGATTAGGGGTTATTTTCTTTAAAAAAATGTTTTGTTGAACACTTTAGCCACATTCTACATGTGGCAGGAGATAGCTTGAATCAACAAAATTAGATATGCATAGTTGTTCATTATCTCTACGAGTAAGATTTGACAATGCTAGGGAACACCACATCAGTGGTTGGTGCAATTGGATGGCGTCATGAGAAATTGAAGCGATGCTTATGAGGTTCTTATTAATTTCTTGCTTGAGTCGAATGATTTGGGCGACAATGGTAAAGTGGGTGTTGAAATTGGGATAGAGATGCGTGGATGTCTAATCTTGAGGATGGTGTGATGGGGAAGAGAGGCTGTGTGATTTGGTCTAGACAATTGCAGCCAAGACTGCAGCTGCTCCATGCAGTTTTCCATTTTTTTTTTGGCAAGCATTGTGTGCCCAATAATTCTGGTGATTCTGTTTGCTGAAAGCTTAAATCACAGCAAGCATGTTAAAATTATTTTCAACCGTATAAATTTGAAATTCATGATAAAATTTCTTCCAATTAGACAGAAGGAACCATCTTTGAATTATGATATTACCCCAAAAAAAAAAAAAAAAAATCTCTGTAATTCTTCATGTGCATGATCCCTTAGTTGTTTTTGCTTTGAATTTGACGAGAAATGTAGGGAATCTTCAACGCACTCATCCCCTTATGCTGGTTGCTTGGGTGCTGTCTATAAGATCATTTCCTTTCCTGTGTTTTGTTGCTTTTCCTTTCTATGGTTTGATTTTTTATTTAAATTTCTACGCCTGCTATAATTTCTATTTTGGAAAGAGTACGTTACATTACTATCGTGGTTGTATTCTGTGTCAATATTCCCAAAATTATATGATTTAAATGAGCCATGTTATATCTTAGTGTTCATATTGTAAATTCCTCATTGAGTATATGCCAAACCGTGAATTTTAAATTCGTAAGCTTTTATTTGGGATATCTTTCTTACAGCTTTTTAAAAAAACTGTTTTAAGAAACAATAAAAAAACTATCACAAACAAATCTAAAGTTACAGAATGATTGATGTTCAGATATGAAGTGCTCCCTCTTGTCATTGCAGTTGGAGTATGCGGTTTCCCTCATAAATTTTGGAGTTATTGTTTTTATGATCCTAGTTCTATTTCAGCAGGAAGCATGGTAGTTGTTGGTTGAAAGAATTAGTATAACTCCTTTCTCCGCTTTTTTCTTTTCAATGGTCTTATAGTTTAATAACTCTTAGTTGGTCTGATTTTTTACAAGGCCTTGCTGCTTTGTCCAAGTAAAATTGCATTTGTATCTTTTGTTTTGTTTTGTTTTGTTTAAACATTTGTTGGTATGCTTGTGATTTCTATTTATCAACAACATCAAGTCTTTACCTCATAATGTGGGGTCGGCTACATGAAATATTTTTTTTTCATTGTGTTATGTTAAGAGTCAAATTCTCATTTAAATCTAATAAAAAAGTCATTTTAAATATTTTTTAATCATATTTTTTTAGGTATATCTACATCTTTTAATGTAGGCTAAAATATATCTACTCTCCTAACTTGGTCATGAGAAGACCAACATCTTATGTGATCATACCATCAAAGGTGACTCTCTCTAATCTTATCTACCATTGAAGCTACTCCATCCTTTTCTCCTATATGCTCGTTTCACATTCTATCTCTAAAAAGTAAAGCTACATATCAACTTGACCATCCTCATCTCTGCAACATTTAACTTAATTGTATGCTTCTCTTTCAATGACTAACATTTTGCGCTATAATGCATTGCAGATCTCACCACCATCTAATAGAATTTTCTCTAAAGCTTGAGGGATACTTTTCTATCACACAATAGGCTCGATGCATTCATCCACTTTAACCAACCAACTTGAATCCTACTAATAATATCCAAATCTATTTCACCATCACTCTGGATAATAGACTCAAGATATTTAAAACGTGTACTCTTATTAATGACTTGATTGCCGAAAAGCACAATCCCCCCATTAGATCTATTACTATTAAAATTATACTTCATGCATTCAATTTTATATATACTCGAATGAAAACATTTAAACTCTAAGATTAACCTTCATAATTCAAGTTATCTTCAACTCCTCTCTAGTCTTATCAACAAGAGAGTAAGAACATTCATAACTAAAGCAAAGAGATATGGGCTTAAAGTTGTTCCTTAATGTAATCTAATAGGAAAATACTTAGTTCAACCTTCTTGTATTTGAACACAAGTAATAGCTCCTGAATACATATCCTCAATGACTTGAGTATAAGCATTTATAACTCTTTTCTTTTCTAAAACT